TTTTCGACTGGAATTTAGGGTACGGTTGCCTTCAGGGCCTTTTCCTCTAAAACCTTTCTTTCGAATTTCGATCTTTTTAATTTACAAAATAAATAAATAAATCATGCAAACTCTTTCAATACGATGAGGATGCTAACTCAGCGTTCGATTCGAGACACAATGCGGCTGTTGGGATAAAAACGTTTCTTACTGATCCAATACGATTCATATTCTCGCTCTAGTGCAAAGAGGGTTCTGTGCCAACCGTTAGAGGGAAACCGCCATTTAGGAACAGCCTCAAACATTCACAAATCTCTGAGCTGAAAAGTGCTGTGAACCGGGTAATTGTCTATTCAAGACTCGTCGGCACTCGCGGAGAGAGTTTCTAGCCAGGCAGAATTACTAGTGTGACTAAGACGAACACAATTAATCCTGATTGTAAGCTACAACCTGCCTTCGTTTGGCTGAAGTATGGCTGAGTATCGAATTGAAATCCGGCTTCACCTTGAAACACGCATGTCTCAGTCATATTACCACTTCCACTCTTGATCGACCTCCCATTCGAGAGTCCAATATCTCAGCTTTCTCCACTAAACATTTCATGACGAATCACTTTCCAATTATTGAAATATAAGTGAAAACTTCTCTCGATCAGAAAGCTGGATCTTCGGTCGGCTTTCTAAAGTGGAAAAAGCTTCACCATCACCCTCACCCATATCTCAACCATTGGAAAGTGATTCGTCATGAAATGTTTAGTGGAGAAAGCTGAGATATTGGACTCTCGAATAGGAGGTCGATCAAGATTCTAGATTGTAGCTTACAATCAGGATTTATTGTGCAAACATACGACCAAAATATCTGCGAAAATGTTGAAAGCTAATATAACTTGGACACTAGTAAGATTAAGGAAAGATTTTCATGTGCTCTATCTATCATCAATGTCGTTTTATGCAGTTTCTACTTGGAGTTCGGATATCAGTTTTCCAGATGAAATACGTCTTTCTCAGTCGATGAATATTTGTACACAACAATAATGTGGTATTTGGAATCAGCGAGAACAACACAGGTACCGATTACTAGTAAAGGAGTCCCTGCTGATTCGTTCAGCCGTACCAGTTTTGAATGGAACAGATCGTTCCGTCCCGTTGTATGTCTTCCTTGACGGCTTAGAGAAAGTGGCAAGCACAGAAGATTATAGGACTCACAATCGAGAAGGTCAAGGTTGAAAAATACGTTACGATCATGTATTGATAATGCCGCATGACTAGTATTTTTAAATGCGCATAAAAAAACAACACATGTATTCTAGAATGATTGTGGACTTTTCTTTCAGACTAGTACGTCAAAAAGAAAAGAAAGAAAAAGAAAAGAAATTGTATATATAAGTTTTACTTTTATGTACAATCACTTGTACGTTTGAAAATGACCGTATAAAGGGTCGAAATATTACAAAAATAAAAATAAAAATAAAATGAAGTTCAAAACAGCTGCGTTAATAATCAAGTTTTTATTTAGAAGCTTGATTTCGAAGGGACGTTAGCCGCTGATGTGAGGCATCAACGTTTCTCCTCCTCACCACGGAGAGGTTTCCCTTCATAGAGGAGGAAAATTCATCATAGCGAGCGCATACAAATCAATTACAAGAGGAGGAATCACAAAAGGGACATGCACAAAAATTCATCGGAAATGTTGAAGGAAGAAATTAAAGCAACAGATGTTTGAAATTCATCACTCCTCTCCTTTTTTCTACAGCCTAGCTCGACCAGATAACACAGATTCTCTGAAAAAGAACTTTTTAAATCAAGATCTTAGCCCAAACAGGGTCATCTTCATTTGCACTAGCCGTTACCTGTACCGTGCACTCTCTCTTCTCTTTCTTCGACTGAGACTGTATGATAATGTGCCGAATAAGCGGATCCGACCGAACGAATAATCGGTTGACTACATCCGTGAGATTTGGTATGTGTCCACATTTACGGGATAAAAACTCTCGATAATTTCGAACATCCTTATTGCAACTTTCGAGTGCCTCTTCACTTAACTCTCCTAAAGCGATGCCATCGATTCTTTCCACTAATTCAGTCGAATGAAATATGAGATTGTGAACAGTAATGTTGTAATCAACCCAAGAGAATTCATTAGCAATAAAGAGACTGAAATCCACAGTTAGTTTTTTCAATTCAGCTAGATTGAGGGATTGAGTAGAAGATACCGCACGAAGAATAACTGAGTACATGTGCATTAATCGAGAGAACTTTTGCTTGTGCTTATCTGGAACACTTTCAACAATTTTCTCTCTTAATTCGTACGAGAAAAATCGTCTGCCTTGTTGTCCAGTTGTACTCGTGCCTGTGTGTCCAGCGGACGAGTCAATTTGATCTAATTTCAGTCCAGTTTTTTCTTGTATAGATGTTAATACAAAGTCCTTCGCCTTTTTGAGATTTTCTTGATTTTTCTCTCCTCGAACAGCCCATGTGAAAAGATTCGCTTTGATTCTATAGAGAATGTGAAGAAACCAAGTAGTTCCATTGATATATTGATGTGTTAGAGTGAGAAAATGGTGATCGCTAGTAGAAAGAGGCTCAGATGTTAGACCCGCTCTCGTTTCATAGTCATTTTTTCTTTTCTTAATTTCTCCACTCTCCCTGATCATTTCATTGTACAAATTCATCGTCTTTTCAGCTGTACGAGTAATGAGAAAGGCATTTTCTTCATTCAATTTCTTCACGTCTTTCCATTCCGTTTGTCGCGTGTAACACATAAGACAGTCGGCCCCTCCTAGACCGGATTCGACCATGCGTACTTTCATGTCTTTCATTGAATCTTCAATAACTATGGATACTTTGTAGGTTTGTCCGTTATGATCAAAAGAAAGACCATTTCCTCGTAGCATCTGTTCTTGAGGCTCGAATGTTTCATTCACGAAGCGAATAAGTTCGGGATTTTCTTTCTCAGCTATCAGCGCTAATGGCTTCGCCCAAAATGCACTATTTGGCGCTTGGTTTCACCAGAACGTTTCTCCAGTAGCGCTGTCCGAAAGAGAAAGAGGCACCATCATTTTCGAAAAAATATTTGCATCTGTCATAAGATTTTGATTTGCTCTATAGATACCTTGTCCACCAGCTCCATCACCACCCGTTTTTTGACGGTAGAGTAAACCAGTAGAAAGAGGAATATTATGTTTGAGTGATTGATCAATGAGTCTTTTGATAGTTAAGGAAACACTGTCGCTCACTTTCACAACCATGATACCTCGTCCCTCTCTTCATTCTTCGACGGCTGGAACTAACGTTTGAGAATGTTCCCTAATAACGTTTCGATTGGGAATGTGAATAGACTCGCGGAAGTAGCTCTTTATAAAATCCATATCATTGCGACTCATGTTGATATGTGTTTTGAGCGCAAGTGTGTGATCGAGGTCGAGACCACTATGAGCTGCTTCGGCAATATTTCCCGTTCTATACAGTTCGTCGCCTAATTTTGCCAAATGCTTTTTTGTATTATAATTGCGCTGGTACAATACATATCCGAGCACCTGATTCACATCAATATTATTTTCTTTTGTAAATTCATTCAGTTGAGAGTTCAGATCGGTTAATTTTGTGCGTTTTTGTCGATTAGCCACTTCACTAAGGTCCCTCATAGGACGCTTAGGTGGTTTTGGCCTATCAACCGGTGCAAGTTTTTGATCAGGAAAATCGCTCCTTCGTATCACAATAGTGAAGAACTTTTCTTTGTTGTGGATAGAAGTATGATTTTTTCGCCAATCATCAAATTTGTCTTTTCTCTTGATGGTGAAGTATTTGATTTTTGACTGAACGAAATTGATATTTCCCTCCGTGGCTTGTAGTTCCAAAAATTTCGTGACTGTTTGTTGTGTTTCTTCTATATTGTTATATAGACCTAGATAACCCAGTCGATATGTGCACCCTAGGGGACTCTGTCCATATCCCGTAACTTCTTGGGACCACTCGGTGAGTGGGCAAATTTCAGACAATCCTTGCCCCCCTACGTTTCTCAACAAGCCACCTCGCGTAAAGTGGGAGTCCAAGTACATTCAAAGAGTAATAGTAAGAAATGGATTCGGCCTCGGAAGCATGACCTAATGACTACTCTGTACTGTGTACAAAGCCAGAGGGGAGTGATCAATAACGAACCCTCTGAACTAGACTACCCAGCTGTACCTTCATTCATCCACTACTATTTGACAGATCCGTGGAAAGTCCTGGCCTTAAGCCGATCCTGATAGGTGTTGTTTCTGTCTATTACCCTAACCTGAGCCATAACCAGACATCATTAACCTAGTTTAACGTCATTGCGGACAAGTGTTAATCTATGGGTAAAAGAAGAATTTAATTTTTTAAATACGTCCAAACACATAGTCCACTAGATGTAGTTTTTCACGCTGATTCCAAATCTGAGCTTGTTTGTACGAAAAAGTGCTTTCTTGACGAATAAATCTCTCAAATATTCGAAAACCACTAGGGGTTTTGGAAAATTCATAAAACCGTCGGGAAAGAGTTGCGAGATTTTGCGAAGTTAGCATAAATAGCGTAGTGTCTGAGGAGCATTTTGATGTATTTGTATATTGTTTTTGAGGGCGGCTAAGGATGGCGATGCGACTGTACTAGGGTAGTGTCATTTCCACTATCGTTATGAGAAATCCATGATCTGCTACTTATTGAATTCGATGTCAAAGTACAAACATTCTATTATTAGTAGATAGCTGAGGAGCTACTGATTTTGAATATGTCCTTTCGAATTGCTTAGCATTGCTGAGAGAGCGAAGAATCCCGGTTTTCTATGATGTGTCCTGTTTTACCATATATGTAATGCAGTTTTTGTGCCCTAATTTTTCCTCAAAGGAGTCGATATCAAAATAGACATTTATACACCATTCGATAGAGAATTTGAAGAGCTGCATTTTGCACTATTTAGTTTTTGAAAACGAAAAACTTCGATTTTTTGCCTAACTTCGGCCTGGATGCCCACTGTGCCATGCTCTCTCGGTCCAGACACGTTCGGGAATCCCGGAAAGACTCCAAACAGACAGCAAAACTTCGACTGGACATATCTCGCTTAATTCAAGTCAGAAATCCATTAAATTTTCAGTGTGAGCTCACCAATGCTCACAGTTGCTACTGGCATGCCAAAACTTTGGGATCAAGTACATCGAATATCAGAAGGTTCCTGGAGATCTCCTGAAAAACCTCATTGTTAAAAACCTACAGTTTATAAACCTTTATCAATAATTCTAATTTTTTTATCTTATTTCACCTGTGCGCCGACAATTTCGTCAATTTCTGACTTGAAATGAGTGAGATATGTGCAGTCGAAGTTTTGCTGTGCACAGCCGAAAACTCGGATTTTCAGAACAACGACTTTGCCGACTTTTGTTCAACTTTAGAAGAAAACAAACATTACCACGATGGCCAGCGCACTCGATTACCTATGTTTCGAGTCTTCCCGGGATTTCCGAACGTGGCCGGACCGAGATATCATGGATTTCCGCAAAACCTATCTAGTTCTCGAATCTCAACATATGGAGGCCTGGAACTGGTTCAGAATTGAAGATCTTAATCTGGCATATCTATCTAACATATTAGAACTGAAACTCTGAAACTTTTTCAGTGGCGAGCAACCTTTTACAAAATCTTCAGGTGTATATGTCAACTGAAGATGTGACTTTTTCCATTCTTTTTGCATAGATTCAAAGCCTCATCCATCCACTTTCAGAAACTGAAAATCGCAGCTCTCTAACTGTCACCGGTCAATGGTTATTCAGAAAACAACGGAGTTCATTATATTTTGAAATGGATAGTAGTACTTTCGTCACAAGTGCATGAATCGGCTGCGATGAAATCAAGGTTTTAGTGCATAGTTCATTAGTCCTAAGTGTTGTAGTGAAAACTGGAGTGGTCAAAACTGCAGTAATGCAAACTATAGCAGTGCAAATTCGAGTAATAACTTCTTGCTTTTTTCTTTACAAATATTGCATTTTCTTAGCGAAACGCGTAAAAACCCTCTTGAATCCTGAAGTCTTTTTCTAAAGTCAAAATATCAAAGTCAAGCATCTATTGCGTTTGGGAGCAGTCCTGTCTGGAGTAGTCCGCAAAACGGCAGGAAAACAACGTTTAAGTCTACTCCTAACTTTCGTCACACTTTGTAAAATCAAGTACTGCACAAATATTATGTTATCTTTGGTGTGGTCAGCACTGGACTAGTTCGACTTGAAGAAGTACAGTGTAAAGCAGTTTGTGTACTTTGGCCACGTGTTAAAAATAAGCGTTGTTGTGCACGTGAACTTTCACCACACGTTGTAACGCGTTATTTCCCGTTATGTTACCAGTGTGACGAAAGTTCAAGGTACGTTATACAGGTAGTTACGAAAGTTCACCACATTTGTGACCAACGTGTGGGGTGGCACTCCCCAAAAATGTCATGCATCTTCATCACATGTGAGGAAAGTACTTTTTTTCTATGTGACGAAAATTGACTTGATGAAAGTGCCATCACCTATTACAAGCATTGATGCAGATAATGATAATCAGACGTCGCCCGCTTCATGATACTGGCTTTTGAAGCTGATTATACAGAAAGCTCTTTACCGCGCCTCATATATGCTGAATTCGGAAGTTTTTTAAATCCTTAAGTTTTAAGAAATTCTCTGGAAAAATCGGATGCGGATTTCACAGTACGAAAACGCGCAGTTGTTATCTATTTAAAACAGTCTCTAGATACTGCACAGAAAGTTGTGTATTCTTAATGATTTTCTTAACGTTTTAAGTTTCCGTTAAAAAAAACAGTATCCAAAGCACGAAGATCAGCATATAAATGGTTTATAGTTTCACGTCTGTTGTAAACGTTTTCAATCAGAGAAACAACATTTCGGACACTTTTAACATTTTTTTGGAAGCCAGGATCTTTTAGCGTAACTAATGTAGTGTACGATGAAAAATGCATATATATAAGCAGAGTGGGATTTAATTCATTACACACGCCAATAACAGGTCTCGTTAAAAATTTTCAGAAGCATATCGTTTTTTCTGTTTCCAAAAACGGGAATAGTTAAAAATTTGAAACGAAAACGAAAAGTGGTCCATTGAGTTACCAATCAGTTCTGAAAATATGAATCCGAAAATATGAAAATATGAAATTTTTGGTGATAACAAAGATTCATTCACTGTCAGAAGACTAAAAGCGACAGAGTATTTCTGAAGACATAATTAGAAAGTTCCCGAAAAATACATTCAAAATAACTATTGTTAATCTTCTCGATACGTGCTCTACCACAAGAAAAATGGAGAGACATTTGTCCAATTACTTATGATTCGTAGGTTACACTTCAGAAATGCAAAATTCAGAAATTCTTACATTATAACTAGGCATGCACCAGTTACAGTTAACTGTAAAACTGTAACTGTCATAACTGTATAACTGTTATAACTGTAACTGTTATAACTGTAAAACTATAATTATCATAATTGTTCCGAAGATAGTTCAGAATGAGTTATCGTTGTACTATTAGCATAGGTTTCAGAGTAAGACAAAAAAAGGACATATATTT